TTGTCAGGTTTAGCCCTTGGTGGGGCCCCCACACCACCGTATTTACCCGCACCTTCACAGATATGGAGATCATGACTCCTGTTGGCTACGAATTGGCATTCCCAGCCAATGGGAGCTGTGATTGTCTGTACCTGCGAATGTGCAGGTAAATGCAGTTTCAGTGGCCCACCAGGGGCTAACCCTAATGAACCTGAAATGCTTCTGAAATGCTTCTAGTTGCATGTGCAGGGCCAGGAAGGCAGGCAGAACTTCAGAGTCTCAATGCATGGATGAGACAATGGTGTAGAGATGAGGAGTTTAGATTTATTAGGAATTGGGGAAACTTTTGGGATGGAGCCTATACAGGAAGGATGGGCTCCACCTAACACAAAATGGAACCAGACCGCTGGCACATAACATTAAAAAGGTTGTAGAGCAGTTTTTAAACTAAGGGCTGGGGGAAAGCCGACAGGTGCGGAGGAGCACATAGATCAGACAGAGACATCTATTAGGGGAGGTTCTATTGATAGATATGCTCTATGTTCTAGTCAGGAGAAGAGGATGAATGTGTGGGTCAGATCAGATGAGACACAGTCAAATGAAAAAGAGTTTAACACATCAAGAAATGGCAGACAGATAAATAGTGCCAAATTATTGAAGTGCTTGTACACAAATGCCAGAAGTCTAAATAGTAAAATGGGTGAACTAGAGTGCCTGGTTTTAAAGGAGGATATTGATATAATAGGCATCATGGAAACTTGGTGGAATGAGGACAATCAATGGGACACAGTCATACCAGGGTACAAAATATTTCAGAAGGACAGAACAGGTCGTGCTGGTGGGGGAGTGGCACTATACATGAAAGAAAATGTAGAATCAAATGAAGTAAAAATCTTAAATGACCCAAAAATCCATAAAATCTCTATGGATAGTAATTCCATGCTCCAGTAATAAGAATGTAGCAGTAGAGATATATTATTGACCACCTGATCAGGACAGTGATAGTGACTATGAAATCCTAAGGGAGATTAGAGAGGCTATCAAATTAAAACACTTGATAATAGTGGGGGATTTCAACTCTCCCCATATTGACTGGGTACACATCACCTCAGGACAGGATGCAGAGATAAAATTCTTGATACCTTAAATGACTACTGTTCGAAGCAGCTGGTTCTAGAACCCACAAGGGGAGGGGCTATTCTTGATTTAGTCCTAAGTGGAGCACAGGATCTGGTTCAAGAGGTAAATATAACTGGACCACTTGGAAATTGTGACCATAAATGTAATAAAATTTAACATCCCTGTGGTGGGAAAAACACCTCAGCAGCCCAACATTGTGGCATTTAATTTCAGAAAAGGGAACTACACAAAAATGAGGAAGTTAGTAAAACAGAAATTAGAAGGTACAGTGACAAAAGTAAAACCTCTCCAAGCTACATGGAAATTTTTCAAAGACACCATAATAGAGACCTAACTTAAATGTATACCCCAAATTAAAAAACTCAGCAAGAGAACCAAAAAAATGCCACCGTGGCTTACCAATCAGGCAAAAGAATCAGTGAGAGATAAAAAGATATCTTTTTAAAAAGTGGAAGTCAAATCCTAGTGAGGAAAATAGAAAGGACCATAAACTTTGCCAAATTAAGTGTAAAAATATAATAAGAAAAGCCAAAAAAAAAAAGGAGTTTGAAGAACAGCTAGCCAAAAACTCAAAAAGTAATAGTAAAATGTTTTTTAAGTACATCAGAAGTAGGAATCCAGCTAAACAACTGGTGGGGCCTTTGAATGATCGAGATGCTAAAAGAGCACTCAAAAGATGATTGTTTTAGCGGAGAAGCTAAATGAATTCTTTGCTTCAGTCTTCCAGGCTGAGGATATTGCGGAGATTCCCAAACCTGAGCCATTCTTTTTAGGTGACAAATCTGAGGAATTGTCCCAGATTAAGGTGTCATTAGAGGTTGTTCTGGAACAAATTGATAAACTTAACAGTAAAAGTCACTGGGACTAGATGGCATTCACCCAAGAGTTCTCAAAGAACTCAATTGGGAAACTGCGGAACTAACAACTATGGTTTGTAACCTAGCCTTTAAATCAGCTTCCGTACCTAATGATTGGAAGATAAGCCAATATTTAAAAAGGGCTCTAGAGGTGATCTTGGCAATTCCAGACTGGTAAGTCTAACATCAGTACTGGGCAAATTAGTTGAAACTATAGGAAAGAATAAAATTGTCAGACACGTGGATGAATATAATTTGTGGGGGGGGGGGAAGTCAACCTGGTTTCTGTAATGGGAAGTCATGCCTTACTAATCTGCTAGAGTTCTTTGAGGGGGTCAACAAACATGTGGACAAGGGGGATCCAGTGGATGTAGTATACTTAGATTTCCAGAAAGCCTTTGACAAGGTCCCTCACCAAAGGCTCTTAAGTAAAGTAGGTTGTAATGGGATAAGAGGGAAGGTCCTTTTGTGGGCTGATAACTGGTTAAAAGACAGGAAACAAAGGGTAGGAATAAATTGTAAGTTTTCAGAGTGGAAAGAGGTAACTAGTGGGGTCCCCACTGGGACCCATCCTATTCAACTTATTTATAAATGATCTAGAGAAAGGGGTAAACAGTGAGGTAGAAAAATTTGCAGATGATACCCAACTGCTCAAGATAGTTAAGATCAAAGCAGACTGTGAAGAGCTTCAAAAAGATCTCACCAAACTAAGTGATTGGGCAACAAAATGGCAAATGAAATTTAATGTTGAGAAATGTGAAGTAATGCACATTGGAAAAAATAATCCCACCTATATATACAATATGATGGGGATGAATTTGGCTACAAGTATTCAAGAGAGAGATCTTGGAGTCATTGTGGACAGTTCTCTGAGAACATCCACTCAGTGTGCAGTGGCAGTCAAAAAAGCAAACAATGTTAGGAGTCATTAAAAAAGTAATAGAGAATAAGACCGAAAATATCTTATTGTCTCTATATAAAACCATGGTACGCCCACATCTTGAATATTGTGTACAGATGTGGTTGCCTTATCTCCAAAAAAGATATATTAGCATTGGAAAAGGTTCAGAAAAGGGCTACAAAAATGATTAGGATTTAGAATGTGTCCCATATGAAAAGAAATTAAAGCTTTGGACTTTTAATCTTAGAGAAGAGGAGACTAAGGGGGATATGATAGAGGTCTATAAAATTATGACACGGGTGGAAAAAGTGAATAAGGAAAAGTTATTGATTTATTCCCACAATAAAAGAATGAGGGGTCACCAAATAAATTAATAGGCAGCAGGTTTAAAACAAACAAAAGGAAGTTTTTCTTCACTCAGCACACTCTTGCCCCCAGGACCTACTGCTGAACTTGCTGTCTGCTTCTGGAGTGGCATGGGTCAGGGCAGGGAGGGAGCCTACCTTAGTCCCACTGCAACGCTGACCAGGAGTCACCTGATTTAAGTGGCACCTGGCTGGAGCCCAGACTCCAGTCCCTGCCACACGGCAACCGCAGCTCTGAATCCCCTCCTGTTCCCTGCACCCCCTCCTGTACTCCAACCCCTGACGCAACCCATATCCTGAGCTTCCTCCTGAACTCCAAACTCCTGCCCTGAGCCTCTTGTCCTGAGCCCCCTCCAGCATCCCCTCCCACATTTCAACCCCTTCTCCCAGCCCTATATTCATTGTCCACCATACAATTTCCCTACCTAGATGTGGCCTTTGGACCAAAAAGTTTGCCCACCCCGGTGTATGTGTTCTCAGGGAACCAAGCTTTTTGGCTGTAAAATGGAGCCATGCAGGGGAAGTACAGCCACCACCAACTCTGCAGCAACAGGAGTCCTAAATGTTTTGATAGAAATGTAGCCGTGTTAGTCTGGGGTAGTTGAAGCAAAATGCAGGACAATGTAGTCTTTAAAGTGCTACATTGTCCTGCATTTTGCTAAATGTTATGGTGATGGTCACTCAGTTGGGGTTACTGAGGTTTTTTTCTGTACAGCTAGGCTGATTTGAGATATACCATTAAATTGTATTGCACCAATGGCTTTTCTTCACTTCTTTTGAAGTGGAAAATATAATTTTTGCAACAAAAGCTAGTCAAAAGTCTTAATGGAGCATAAAAATCCCAAAGGCCATGCGTTTATAGCTTTAAAATGGAGGACAATGCATTGTTTGATGCTCTTAAAATGTGTAAAGTTAATGGTATGTTTGTGGTATTAAAATGATATAATTCTCAACCCCAGTCCTTAATTTCACCCTCAGGTACGCTGGAACTTTTAAAACCAATTCTGCTGGTTCTAAGAGTATCTCATTTTAGATTCATCAAGTGAGGGAAACTAGACAAACTCCCTCATAAGCAGATTATTCAATACCATTATAATACGTGATCATTTTGTGGTCATTGTGGGTATTATTTTCCATGGAATATGTGTGATTTATAACATGTATTTGTATGGCAAGTTTAATATTTGTTCAAGACTTTGTGTGCAAGAAATTCTTAGCCAAGAGATGGTGTCACTCACATGCAAAAGCTTTCATAAATGAGAGTGTCAATATTTAAAACTCTGGATATTCCAATTGGCAATTAGAGAGTAGTCAATCTAGTCTTAAAAGGAAAGCTAGAAAATGGTTTCTTGTGTATTCTGATCGGTGCAAGCTGCTTTTCTCTTAATACATTTTTGTTTTGCAGGTATGAGGTCAGAGTTCATGTGAATAATTTCCATCTGCATATTAATGTGATTTCTTTAGTGATCTGAAATTTAGATAAACATGGATAGAATAAGAATCTCTGCCCAGTCTGTCTGTGAATGTTTAATTTCCAACCACTTCACAATGTTTTTCCAGGAATTGAGAAAGGGAAAAATATTTTAACTATGATGGTTATTTTTACTGTCATTTCAGGGAAAAGTTGTTATGGGAACAGGCCACAACACAGAAATGGTCTCAAGGAAAAGCTAATAAAGAATTCTAAGCAGAATTAATATTATTTTTCTTCCTCTGGCTAACACAGATTGTCCTATTTTCCTTTCTTTGTCTTTGCAGCAATCTAGCTCTGGGGATTTGAGGACTTTAAGAAAAGGGTTATCCCCGTACCACTCTGAGTCACAGCTGTCATCTCTGCCGCAGTATCAGGAGTCCATGCAAAATGTAAGAGCCATTTAGCTACCTGGTATATTTATACAAACAAGAATCTTAAATTTCTGAAGAGAGAAACAGAGAGACTGAGCTCAGGCTATGAATACAAATGTCTGGCTGATAGGTCACCTCTTCAGAACTAGATTCTACCCTGAAATCAAGGATGTGAAACACAGTAAAAACTTACTCCGCTTTTACAGGTTGCAGATTTCTAGAGACAGAGGAAAGTCTAGAAACATTGACTTAACCCATGAAATGTTGAGCTCAGGATTTTTTTAGCTGAGGTTTCTCAGATAACGCAGAAACCTATCACTAAGTGCCTATTTGAGAACAACGTGGGGTCCCATCAAATCTGCTTTTTTTTCTTAAACTCTTTTATGGCCAATGTCCAAAAATGTGACACTGGATAAGACAAAAGATATACTGCCAGGTTTCTAACAGTTAGTTGTCAGGAACTGTAGTGCTCAAGTTCTGGGTGCTCTCTGTTTACCTTAAGTTTTTTCTGCACAGCAGGTAAGTTTATTGTAAAATAAGACAGGCCTGCTCTGCTTTCTCTAAATTGACAAAGTGGGTAAGGCAGCTAAACAATTTGCAGTTATCTCTATGGCTCCTTCTCTGTCACGCAACACCCACTAATTATTGTAGTGGATGAGAACATTCCATTTGCTAAAACTCGTAGATGCTCATCTTTCAAAAAGATCTAGGCATCTCTGCACCTCTTGTTGTGAGAATTGCTCAGAGCTGATTGTAGCCCCAGGGGTTCCTGTCACATGCTAGCTGTCAAGTGATAAGAAATTTACAGAAGGGTCTGATTCTGAGAGTGTGCTGAGCACAGCTTTGAGTGTCCATTGCATTTCAGGATTCATAGATTCCAAAGCCACCAGGGAATATTTGCTTTTCAACTGGGGTCTTAAGAATATAGCCCATAATCAAGTCATCTCTTAATCGTCATTTGTTAAATTGAATAGATTGTGGTCCCTGAGTCCATTGCTACGAGGCAGGTTTTCTAATCCTTAATCATTTGGGAGACTGGCGTCTGAATCCTCTTCAATTTATCAACATCCTTGTGCACTAGGACTTCACACACTATTCTATCAGTGGTCTCACTAATGCCAAAAACAGAGGTAAAATCACCTCTAGTCTTACTGAAGATTCCCCAGTTTGTGCATCCATGCATTGCATTAGTTCTTTCTCAGTGTGAAGTTCTTCAATATGGAGCAACTCTCCCCTTCCCTCCCCCCCAAATACACAAGAGTCTGGATTGGGTGATCTTCTGCTTGTGTTAGAAATGTTTCCATTTCCCCAGGGCTTAGATGTGTCCAGTGGATGCTATGGGAATTTGAGAGGCAGGAGTTTGGGGAGTCACCTAGATTTTTTTAATGTACACTAAGTGGTATGGATTTTCTGCTTTTATATTCTATCTATTCCTGCAGAGGGAGGCTTGAATGGGGATTTTTAAAATATATCATCACAATCAGTTTTAAAAGACTAAATAATGGTATCTCCAGACATTTGATTGCTGCATAATAAGGACAGAGTCTTGTGGCTGAGGAACTGGTCTTAGAGTCAAGACAGGGCCACCAATGCAGGTTAAAGGGGACTTCAGTGGCTGGGGCCCCTGATGCTTTAAATTGCTACTGGAGCCCTGCGTGGCACAGTCTGGACGGAGATGGAGGCTGGCTGTGGGAGGCCTGGTGTGGTCTGGGCAGCACTGAGCTCTGGCTGTTCCTAACCCTGCCCTTCCACCTAAGGCCCCATCCCTTTGAGTGGGGGAGAGGGGCAGAACTGAGCTCCCCTCATATTGCCCAGGGCTCAGCAACATCTGTTGTCCAGAGTGAACTTCACCTCTCTACACCTCTGTTTCCCCCACCTATAAAAGAGGATGTATGGTTTCATGTATGGTTTGCTTAAGGGGCTTCTGACCCTGCATATGTTACACAAATGCAAGGCATTATTATTTAATTTTTGGAATGCTACTTTATTTGTTAAAGTATTGCTCAAGAGTTTGCCTGTCCTGGTCAGATATCTCTCTGGAATGAATCTAATAATGATATAGGACTGTGAATGTAATTTGAATTGCCCATATTTGGTAAGTCCCGCTCTTTCTTTTTTAAAAATTGATAATACAAATCTGCTGAATTGGGCAGATGATGTGTCTACCCATAAAACAGGTCTTAGTTATACTTTTGCTCCTAAAGAAGGCATTTAAACAATTCAGTTTCTAACTGTGTGAAATCTCACTTGCAGGTTTTTGGTGTATTTAGCTTTCACTGTGTCAGGTGTTTTTACCAAAGCTAAAGATAAACTCAAGGAGTGAGGTGCTGCACAGAACTCACAATCCTAGAGGATAGGGAGCTAAGACGACTTTGACTTCTCAGCACTGTCATACTTTGGACAGCTCTGGCAGGGCCTGTCTAAGTAAGAGCAGAGTCTTGTATGTCTCTTAGGGGATGCAGCATTTCCCAGAATCACTGCATGCTATGGCCCCATCCTCAACACAAGGATTTGCAAGTGAGTCCTAGAAAGGCAGCCTTGTGGTTATCTTCCACAGTATCTGTACTGGGAGAATCCTCCATCAGCAGGACCCAGGGCTTTGGAGTAACTTTACACCACCCTGGCCCTTGTACCCAGAGGAAAGGGGCCATATCAGGGAGAACGATCTCAGTCTAGATCCGGGGTGGCCAGCCAGTTAGAGAAGAAGAGCCAAAGTAGCTGTGGATAGAGTGGGAAGAGCCACGTATTTTATATAAAAATAAATATATGTATCTGCTATGGTACACAAAATATAGTGATAAAAATAACATTATAAGACATCTTGGACAAAAACCAATAAAAAAGTCTCTAGTCACTTAAAAAATTGACAGCCAGTCCATAGATCGTCAGAGAACTTGACAAGGAACAAACATCAAATTTAAAAAAAAAAATTAAAAATACAGAAATATTCTCACACTAAATAAAAAAGTATCCCCACCATGTATTTTAAATTTAACACTACTGCCCTATTATGTCCTGTGAGTTTTTTAAAATTAAACTGAACTGAGAAGTAAATTAGCACAATTTGAAGTGCCTGTTTCACTCCAGCTTGTTGATCTCTGGTATGGTTTCCTCATTTTTTTTTTAACTTATAAAGTTTATGGCTTTTTTATAGTTCTAAAAATTAAAGTCTGTCCTAGACTGCAAATATGAGAGGTTCAAAAACAATAAGGGAGAGACTCGTATCTCAGAATAATTGCTTCAACTTGGCAAACAATACCATGAAGAGTTTGAGTTTAAGGTGCTTCAGTGAGGAGGGAGGACTGGCCCCCTTGCAGGTGAAGGAAAGCTAGCACTGGGGACATAGCAGTGCTGGGCTAGATGAGGGGCAAGCTCTTGGATGGCTGCTAAGATTGGCATGCCAAGACCCTGAGGTCAGGCTGATGAAGATGCAAGGGATTCAGGGAAGTGGCCTGAATCAGACTCAATGGTTGGAGGAGAAGCAAGAAGTGGCTGCTATCTACAGGGTCTCTGAGCCAATAGTGGGTGGAATAGGGCCATTCCTCCTTCCCTCCCGCTGGGGAAGTGGTCACCACTGAGACAAGTCGATGGACAGAGACTACAGAAATGCAAGTGTAGCATGGTCAGAGAGCTGTGACACTGAAGATGACATTGTGGTCCTTGGAGGGACATGGGTCCAAGAGCAGGAGACGGGCAGAGCATGACCAGGGCAAAGTGCTCTGGCTATCAGAGCTAATATCAGTGTTGGCCATGAGGTGGCGCGGTAGTGGTGAGTCTCACTCCATCACAGTAGCCCAGGAAAAGGGGGAATGAACTGCATGAGGCACCAGGAACAAACAGTGATGTGGAGATGATGGAGGGAGTGGCAACTAGCTGTATTACCACAGGGACTTAGGTTCTTCCCTCTCTTTGGTAGGTTTGCCAGATGTCCACTTCTTGACTGGAAGTGACAGTTGTAAAGGGACCCTGGTGACTCCAGTCAGCATTGCTGACCCAACTATTAAAAGTGTGATTGGCATGGGAATAGCAAACTCCCTACTTGGCTCCGCATGGCTCCCGAGAAGCAGCAACATGTCCCTTGGCTCCTAGGTGGAGGGATGGCCAGGGGAACTCCATGTACCACCTCTGCTCCACCCTGAGCACCAGTTCCACAGCTACCATTGTTCAGAAATTGCAGACAATGGGAGCTGCGGGGGCAGTGCTTATGAGCAGAGGCAGTGTGCAGAGCTGATTGGCCGCCCCTCTGCCTAGGAGCTGTGGGTCATGTCGCTGGTTGTGGGAAGCCACCCAAGGTGAGTGCCACCCTGAACCCACACCCCAAAACCCTCCCACATGCCAAACCCCTGCCTTGAGCCCCCACCTGCACCCAAGCTTCCTTTGAGTCCACACTCTGTCCTTCTTCCTGCTCCCCAACCCTCTGGCCTCAGTCTTGAGCCCCTTCCCCTTCCTGCATCCGAATCACAGGCCCTGAGCCCCTCCTGCACCCAAACTTCCTCCTAGAACCAACACCCCAAATCCTCTCTTGTGTCCTAACCACTTACCCCAGCTCAGAACCACCTCCTGCACCCCAAACCTCTTGTCCATAGCCTGGAACCCCCTCCTATGCTCCAAATTGCTCATCCCCAGCCCCACAGCAGAGCCTACATCATAGCTGGAACCCTTACCACCCCATACCCAAAACCTCTGCCCCAGACTGGATTCCCCTCCCACACTCTGAATCCCTCGGCCCCAGCCTGGAGTCTCTTGCTCAATACCAGATGTTGAAAATCAAATTTTGGAATGTGAGAACAATATACAAAGCTATTAAAGCAACCGATAGATTCCATCTTGATATCCTTCGAATCAGGGAGCATAAATGGACAGGAATGTAGATGGCAGACATGAAACTGGAATAGCAAGTCTAATGTTGAATGAAGCAGGCCAGGCACTGGCATAGCGGGAATAAGGGAAGGAAAGAGTTATTAAAGCTTGGTTTCAGACTAAATTCTTCAGAGTAACAGTCAGATTCATACACAATG